CAGTGTTTTTAAATGAAGATAAATATTATCATTTGTTCACTACTTTGGTGAATAAACCACTCTGGCGCAATGATTATATAATGAGGTAGACTGATATTGAGACATTATTTCATAGGGGAAACGCCTGACACTATCTGTTCACTAAGATATTTTAACAACAGGATCTTTTAGAAGGTATTTTAACGACAGTACGTCTTAATAATATGAGGGTAGGTAATTAGTGTACGATCGTTGTAAGTAGCAGGATAAAGGGTTGGTCTAGTATTTAATAACACTGAAAACAAAATGAAGGTTAGGTACCCATATAATGTATTTTTAATGAATATAATAAACAGGAAATTTGGTATCAGACATACGAGATAACTGTGTATTATCTTCGCCTGACTTTGTTTTCATACTACTAGAAATTCGTCGGATAGGAGTAAATTCAATTTCAAGGAAAATAGTGTTTTTTCTGACATGTGGAGCTGTGCCATTCAGTGTCTAAATGGTACTTTGTCACTGTGCCATTCACATCATCATGAATATGAATGTTTGCTGGACTGCGACAGATAAATTTAATATGCTTCCAGTGCTGACCATCGCTAAATGACTATTTTGAGATCGATACTATCAAAAATGTGGATTCCCTTAGTGACATGGAATCGCTGACAATATCCCCTCTACCTAAAGTTGTATAACTGCTTGAAGTGGTAATCTTTTCTAACTCATAAAATAAGCCCTCCTAGAATAGTTCCCAACATATATGTCTAGCTGACGGCCTGAAATCGAACTCCATGTACGTGCTGCGGAGTTCAACTTCTGGCAGGCGCACACCTTTACCTCCCCCAGCCAGTTGCAAGCCCAACAAATGGGTAAGGTTGAACTAGTGGCTAGCTACTCCACCCAGTATAAAACACCACTGCTACTAAAATTTCAAAGCTTAAGCTTGTTCCACTTGGAAGGCAAAGGAATAAAATAAAGAAAATATTTTGTTTCTCTATAGCCTGGTGCGTGTCAATGGAATATAACTGTAGAATGTTCAATGAAATGTAGAACACATTTACATGTTACTGGTGTTTCCCAGTCAAATTGATGAAATTTTTGATTTTTAAACGGACTCATGAATTTACTGTTTTTCTTTGAAGGTATTTCAGTGATAAATAGTAATTTGGTAGGTCAAGTGTAGTAAACAAAAGTTTATTTTAAATAGGTATTTCTGTGCTAACTAATAAGTAAGCTAAATTCACAGTGAACAGTTCAATTGCGAATTATTATTATATCAGAGTTATTCATATCTCCGTGAGATACTGGCATTATCGGCTTCGTTAACACAGTAAGATGCACCAGGTTCAGATCTCACTTCATGTATTTGACTTGCATTTTTTCCTTCACATTCCCAGTGGAACATAGGGCCTCAAGCCACTGGCTTGAAGTTTCTGTAGCACTGTTTAATTTTACAGGATAGGGTTGGTAGCCTCATGCTCAACCTTACCTCTTCACCAGCATTATTTCTGGCTTAGCGAGGTAAAGGAGTGCGTCGGTGGCCGGGGATAGAACCCCGGACCATGTGCTTGGTCTGCGGGCGTCCTAACCACTGTGCCACCGACGCACCGTTTGACTGCATAATGGGACGGTATTAAGAGCTGGAGAAATAAAATGAACTCTTTTACATATTATAATAGACATACTTCTGTAACTCTTATCGCCACGAGAAAATGTATTTGTTTCTGTGATATACAAACTCTATGTTGTCGTGACACTGATATTTCCCTAATACGTCTCTACACTCCTCTTCTCATATAACAGATCATGGAGGAAAATGAAAGGCTAAGGAAAGTTGAAAGAGAAATTGAAATTGAAGCTGATAGAGAACAATTGAAATACAACCCAATTAACTGGAGACATACACTGAAATAAACAAAATACTCTATGTAAATTAATTACTTTAAAATTTATGTTATATATCCATAATTTGACCTTCTATATATGTATGAATGATACATTTAGAACATCAAATATATCTCTTAAAATTAGACAGGTTTCAACTTCTAAAACAGTTGGAATAGTGGAAAAACAAACTGACGGGAATAATTGAACTGAACTTTCAAACATGAAATATGGATAAAAACGTAAAATATTGTGTGGTTTCATCTTATATTAAAAAACGAAAACTGAAATTGTCATAAGAGCCTGTGTGCTTTTCTCTTGGGGTACCTGAGACAGAATTAGTGTTGTGCGACCGTAGAGTCCACGGGACAACTGCTTGAGCCGGTCACAAACGGCTTGTTTGAATTGGTTTTTAGAGGTGTTTCTGTATTAGTAACTTAGTGCTGGCTACAGACCACCGTCGGGATGCAAATCTTTTTGGGTCGACCTTTCCTAACCCCATTTCTCCAGAGTAGACAGAAAGCATAGCTGCCCATCTGAGGGAAACACATTAGTACTGTTACATCCCTGTTCTTCAGTAGCATCGATATGTACACAGACCAAAAGCACAGTGTAAACATATTACACTGTAACGAGAGAAGATAAGGGCCAACAGATATTTCTAGATTTTTATGAGTACCATTATTCGTTATTGTTAGCAGAGAGGTAACGTCTTCTGACTGGTTGTTTTCCTGCTGAAGGTTGTTCTGTCATCTCTTTGTTGCCGTTTCTTAGACAGTCCGGTGATATATCTGAGAATCGTATCCCTCAAGCTAAGTCTGCTATGATTGGTTGTTAAGTCTTTGTTCTTGTTTTTTTCTCATGACCAAGATTTGGAACGTGAAACTGCCGTGAATAGCTGCCTGCCAATTTTGGCTAGCAGACAGCTGTCACCACAATACCACGCAGGTGACAGCTTTTAGCCTAACTACTGTCCTAACAACCTTTCTTGCATAATAGGAGCTGCAGGAACATTAGTTCCAGCCAGTGTAGTTTGTTGGGTCATTGCGAAATCCAGGCCGACCACCATGTCAGGGTAGTAGCTATCGATCAGCTCAAAGTTGTTCTCAGTGGTTCTGACGCACACACTATGATCTCCTATATCCATTAGAACGCCATTGTTGCTACGTGTTACTATTCTTTCTTACTTACTACTATCCTTCCGAATCTCTTTTGTCTTCTACTGTGTGCTACATGGAGTGTGGCAACTTGAACTGGTGCACTTTTGTACAAAGTTCTACGCTGAAACCAGTCAGTCAAATTGTCATACACATATACGTCATCTTCAAATTTAAGATGAATTTCACCAGGAAAACCACAACATTAAAATGTGAAGGCTTTCTTTACGCTGTGTGTTATTTTACGTTAGGGCATGGTGACCGCCATTCTCTAGTCCTTGGAATAAATTTGAATTGTTTGACCTTAGAGTATACTACATGACCACTGATCACTTTTCAGTAGCGTATTGCTTGACAAGAAATTAAATCCGAAGCTTGTCAGCATTGAATAACTCAGATCTATAAATCCAAAGATGGAATAGAACCTATGACATCTTCTACTATCACTATCCTAGTATACACCGTTATCTCCTAACTTTGCACATTTTGTACATTTCTGTTATTAATCATTTGAATAACTATGAGGTAAAAATATTTCAGAAACCATTAAGCTAAAGAGAAATGAAGAGGCAAACCTGACGCCTTTGTCTAAAATTAAAGATTAGTATTATAACCTCAATAGACAAAAGCAACTTAGATATCCAGGCTGTTGGGTATAGTCTCAATAAGCAATCACCTAACTGAAATAACCGAAACACATCATAAATTCATCATGCTTGTTAAAATGTCATAAAAAAACAACTGATATCTTAATCAACGTCATATATTACAAAATAGCACCAAAAACACGTGTGAAAATAACATTCGCATTTTCAAGTGGTAATCATTCGTGAACAATGCAAGACAACAGGGTATAGGCAGTTTTCGTTTTCATTTATGGCTCATCAGCAAAAGAGAACGTGGACTAGATATAAGAATAGAACTCAGGCATTGTGGTGGAGTTTAATTCTATCATAAAGTAAATGTATCCGAAAAAATTGCAGTGTTCAGCATTATTTACTGATAATGATTTGAGCAGAATTCATTGCTCGTAATCATGTCGAGCTCATATCATGCCTTGATATGATTATGAGCATAAATGGCTGTTGGTCACACTTAAATCACTAATTGGTACAAGTTAGAATTCATCGGCAACGGAGTCAAATCCCCGTGGCTGAATGATCTACGAGCTTGCCTTGTAACCACCAGAAGGTCCTGTGTGCGAAAACAACATTGGGTGCACACCGACGATAAGTCCCGAACTAGGACGAAACAACTTTCCAGTAGTCCCTGGTTCGCAATGGTTCTATAACTGATATCAATCCGTGGTCGAACTTGAAATAATCATTACTACTTAACCATCAAATATGTTGCCACGAAATACCCACCATATTTTGTATCAGTAAGTCTTGTTGATTATTTTACAGAAAAGGTCAAAATGACGCGAGAAGTATATATTATCACTCTATAGCAAACAGTAAGAACTCCTATGAACAGTGCATCTACAAATGCACGCTAGACCATCAATCACGGATTTTCTTTAATTTACTTTCCATTATTAATTAACAGAAAGTCAGGGATTTTGTAGATTGAAGTTTATGTTAGATGATTTATTTGCTGTATCACAATAATACAGTTTTGAATAAATGGATGACGTTTCATGCAACATTCATTGCTCATAATCACATTGATATGATTATCAGTAGCAAATTATGCTCGAAAAGTCATCCAGTTATTATTACTTTGTTATATCGAATAAATTTGCATAATATGGAATTAAATTCTTCTATACTCCTCAAATTCAACCCTTACAATAATGAAGTTCATGTTCATGGATTCTGGTTTACTTAAAAACAATTCCACCTGGATTTATAATATCATCTTTGAACTGATGATCTTCATGTGAGGCTCTTCCAGTTGCCTTATTGAATTCAAGTGTTGACGACACTTGTTATTGTATTGCATAATTCTCTACCGAAAAATCCATTCGTTTCTACTATATGATATTTATTTAAATGAAATGAAATAAAATTCCTTCTTTAAAAAATCACATACACGCAGTTATGCAATAATCACAAAAGCAAAATAAACAATTTCATTAATAATAACAAATCAACAAGTAAAAGAAAATTACAAAAACAAATAAAATACTATTAAAATCTCAAGTTGGGGAACAAAGAGATGAGAAGAAAAATTACAATTATAAAAAATCTATTGGGTATAAAAAAATTTAACGGTAGGAGAGCTGGAACAACTCGCTACCTACCCTGTTACTCAAATACATATAAACTAATCGTTGAACAGTGAACAGAGTTTTGTTTTGTTTTTCAATTCATAAACTGTTCATAAATGTGAATAAAACAATTGAAATTAAATGCATTTAGGCATACATATAAATAGATTAGTAGTAAAAGAAGATAATACACATCTATATATACATTATGGATAATACTTTAATTTCACTGATAAAATATTTACAATATTTACAGTTCACTGGTGTAAGTAATCACCATAATTCAGCACCATTCGACCAGTCTTCATCATCACCGTCATCATCGATTCCATGACTGTAGTTAGGCAAATATTGATTAAACGGATCATTATTGCCAACATTATTTTCTTCATCGTCTTCAACTGCTTCTTCCTCCCCTTCCTCCTCCTCACCATCATTATTATTATTATGATTATCAACAGCAATGCCGTTATCGCCTTGTCTGCCATAGGCTTTATTTAACTGTTCTCCGTTACATGCAGATGTTGTTGAATGTGACTTATGATTCTTAGCGTCTAAAATTTGTTTAGGTGATTTGAATAATTCTTTAGAATTATCATTATCACACAAAGTGGAGGCAAGCAATGGACCAGGTCTCGGTTCACTATTGTCTACATCAGTCGCCGGTATAGCATGATGATCTGATTGAGAGGATGAAGCTGGTACAGCAGATAGACCAACAACTGCTTCAAGTGCTTCATAGTTAATTTTACGAGATAATGGTTTACTGTCTTCTTCTTTTGAATTTGTATTACGATTTGATCGTGTTGATGATGAATAATTATTACGTCGACTAGCCGTTTTACGCTATTTCAAAACAAACAAAGCAAGCGAATATAACAGAATTTTTTTGAAAAAAAAGGAAAGTCAAAAGGTTATTTCTCGTCTCAATGCTGATTTAAATATAGAGTAAAGTTAATCAGTGATTTTCATATATAAGTTCTATTAGTCAAACGTTGTGTATACAGATGAAGCTGTTTGAATACGACCTAATTGTATGAACCAATTGGTAAACTATCTACATCACTCATCTATGGTATATTAAAACTTGAGGATTTTACAAATTTTTACAGTTTTTCGTCTCACTATATTAATAAATCAAACTGACATTATTTTTATGTTAACCAAATTTTTAAGAAATGTTTTAAAAAAATTTAAAGTGTTAGTTTTTCGGGGATTCGATACGTTTTAAGTTTCATTAAAGATCGATATCAGTTAGAGAACTACTGAAAACCAGGGAGTATTGAACAGTTATTGCGTTCTAATTCGGAACTTCTAAGCAGCACATACACCTATAATCTCACTGGAGGTCTCCCACAAACTAACAGAAATTAGAATCCATGGACCATTGGATTCCATACCAGTAAGTAGGTGACGGGTAAACAAGCTCACCTCATAACCTGAAGGTCTTTGGTTCCATCCATACCCAGTAGAGTCATGAGTTCACGCTGATGAAAAATCCCAACCTACGACGAAACGCCTGTCTAGTATTCTCTGATCTCCGATAGTTCTTTAACTGATATTAGTCCACGATTAAAATATTTTTACTCATAACCAACTAATACAACTACAATCTTCCAATGTCTAAAAACGACGTGATGAGCCAATATATTTTTAATAAGTCCGTAGAGTAGATAGATTAAATCACAACAATCAATAGATCACTAAAGTAAAAGAACATAGCTCAAATATTCAACAATTACGTATCCCATTTAATTTACAGGTATCAGATAACAAATGTCGACAGACAGGTATTCATCTATCCTACAAATCATTTCTGGAGCGAATTATACGCATATGACGGTAATTATCACCATGACACATAGAAAAAACGAAAGAATAAAAAATGAATCGTATAACTGGAGTTTGTGTGCGTCGGTGGCACAGCAGTTAGGATGCATGCCGACCATGCACATGGTCCGGGGTTCGATCCCCGGCCACGACGAACTCCTTTACCTCGCTAAGCCAGAAATAATTCTGGTAAAGAGGAAAGGCTGGACATGAGGCTAGCAACCCCATCCGGTAAAATAAACAGTGCCAGAGAAGCTTCAAGCCAGTGGCTTGAAGCCCTATGTACCACTGGGAACGTGAAGGAAAAAAAAAATAACTGGAGTTAAGTGTTAGGTAAAAAGAAATTAGATGGATCAAATATCACTGGCAAAACTGAGTTGGTTATTACAACTAAGCATATACACAGTTACAATGTTAGGAGAGGAATCATTCCATAGGTAACCAAGTATGCATCTGGGTTTCGTGCTAGATGGCACAAAAAAGTATAATTCACTGGATTAGGCACTCAAATTTCAGTTAATGGGTCAGAGGTTCAAATCCCACTCTACTTACTTTAGCCTGGGCAACTGGGTAGTATCATCAAACCCGGTTGGGTCACAGCCCGGCACATGGAAAATCTATCCCGGATAGCTTTCTAGCATTTGTCAGTAAAGTATATTCACAATCAAAATGGAACACATATTTTTTCCACCCATGTCAGTACTAAGTGTAGGTGGATCCTAATTCCAGCAAGGAAAGAACTAGTGTATAGATAAAATACATACCCTGAAAATTGAATGAAAACAAAGGAATTTATATAGTAATGTCAATATCTGGTTTAACAAACTCGACTGTTACTTAGAGCTCTAAGGAAGCAAAAGTTGAGCTGTGAGATTTTGTCACCAATCTAATTTAAAGGTTTCTTAAGTCACTAGGCAGTTAAATCCGTCTTCGCATAACGAAAATCTCACAAGCTAAAATCACTGACAAGTTCATCATTTACTGAAAAAATCAGGTCTTGTCTTAACTGACTTTCAAATTGCATACACTACAGTTAAATAGGTTCACTGTGCGTAGAGTGTTCTCGAGTGATTTATCCTACAGGCATAGTAAGTGTCTTCGATAACTCTAAGTATATACAATTTAAAAAGACATAAAATGATTATTCGAATAAATAAACAAACCTTTTTAGGACCTTTAATATCTTCTTGTTCTTGTTGCTGTTGTTTTTGTCTTTTGGCTAATTTACGTTCTAAACAGAAATAAATAAAACGGTTATAAAAGTGTGTATGAAATACGTGTGTTCATTCTAAAAAAATCTCAGTCTTTAGATATTCTAAGGATGCAACTCTTAGTAACGTATTATCAAATAACAACAACGGATGTTGCAATATATTATATCAATAAAGGACTACATATTTTCGGTCTCTTGTGTTTTCATTCAGGCGTAGACACATACGAACAGAATGCCGTACGATTAGAGATCGAAAATCTTCCATTGTTTTTCATTTATTATTAATTTGTCTGTGTATATCGTTAGATTGATTCTGATGGCCTTCGTATGAGACATCGTCTTTCTTTACAAATGAAATTAGTGCCACCATAGAGTAAATTTATTGGTGACGAGTTATCCGTACTGAATGTGTTAGGGGTAGATTCAATGAACAAAGATTCAGTAACCAACCTCTATCCCCACCTACCTATATTACTTTTTAGAGACAGTGAAAGGTTGATTAATGAATCTTGGCTCATCAAATCTACACCAGACACATTCCATTGAAATGACTCATCCCCAAATTCAAAGATATGGAAAATGTTACCACCAATTAAATCGAACGATAAGGAATAAAGGAATTATATGAACGAAGTTTGAAAGTTATATGAGTGGCATGATATGATTGTGAGCAATGAATTACGCTCGAAACGTCATCAGCAGATATTACTGTGTCACAGTGTGATTTTATCAAATAAATTTATCATTGGTCACGGTAATCCCCTGTGATTATCACAGGAAGACTTGTCTCCTTCTTGTATATCGGGATAATCAATGACTTACACCACCTCGACAGGACTATCTCTGATTCCGAGACGCTGCCTAATATCTTGGTTGACGCAGAAAGTAAATCGTCTCCACAGCCCTTGAACACCTCTGGAGTCATTCCATAAGGTCCTGCTGCTTTGGACCGTTTTAGACTAGTGGTACCTTTAGTAACCTCAGTCAGGGACGACGGATCTGTGCCTATATCTCATTCATGGAGGTTTGGATGCTGGGTAACTTGATCGTGACTGTAGGCCAATTAAATTGCTCCTCAAAATGTCTTTTCCAAAATCCCAATCGTCTATCCTGCGAACTGATTATTGTGCCATTTTTCTCGGAGATTGTTTCGCTTATCATTTGCCTTCTACCTCCTATTTCCGTGGTAAGTCTAAATAATTGTCTGGTGTTATCAATTGCCGATGCCTTTTCCATCTCCTTCGCTTTTGTCGCCCACCACTGTTTACGTTAGTTAGTTTGCGTCTGAGCAGCTTTCGTTCCTCATCATATTTGGAGCTCGCTAGAATCAGTCTTCTTGCGTTAATCAGTTCAGATGAAGTGGTACAAATCACTAGCTCTTGCTAACTTTTGGTTTTATGTTATTAACAGCCTTTACAGATGTGTCTACAGCTAACTGTATATTGTACCAGGCTTCCTCAGGAGGAGTTTTGCTGTCGATTGCAGACACTGGATTAGCTATTTCTTCCTTACATACGCACTTAGTGTCTTGATATAGTTGGGGGCAGACAGTATGCATGGGACTATCCAGTTGGATTCATTTGCGCAGTGGACCTTTTTACAGAGCTTTTCCTTACGTTTTGCTTTCAAACCCTGATATTTTTTTGACGTGACTTCGTTGATGAAATACATCATGAGAAATAATTAACTTCTGATGAGATATGCTGTAGATCATTCTACTTATGACGAGTCACATGCTCACGCTGTTAGATACGTTTAAATTAATCCACACATTTACTGATACTTTTTATTTGGGGACAATTATAAGAAAATATTAAGAAATAATATTGCGAAATACGCATAATTTAAGAAGTTTAATAATGAAGCCATGCATTAATTTTAAATATTCTGAGGTCATTGACTAAGAAAAAGTTTAGATTGACAAATCTAAGAGGAGATTGAAAGCGCATAGAGACTACTGGAAAAAAGAACCTACGCAGTATGGTGAGTGAAGCTCCCAATAGTTACCAACGAGACTTGGCAGCTCACAGAAATTCTAGCGAAAGACGAATCTTTGAATAAACCTGTACTTAACTGCAGTGATGAGCCTTCACATCACTAATCGCATAAATATCACTAAAAAAGTGAAACACAAATAAATTGATCTAATCACAATATTTATACTGATTTGGATGCTTCAGCTAACCTAGTAGTTATTACCCGCTTTTCTCCCAGACTGTATATCATTATTCTGACAGTCGCATATCATACACTGACTTAAACCTTATTGTCTTTGTCCCTGTTTAGTTTCTAATTTTATTGTGTCCCTTTGCGGCCGTACAATGCGTTGCTTTACGATGTGATTTTGTTTGTACTAATCAAGGTCATTCTGACCTTGGAGTACCTGAGGGAAGCGCTGATTTGTAATTCTTGTGGCCAGTTTTTGATCTCACCTTATTGGAAATAGTCTACTTGATTCTGGGTACTTTGTTTTATACTCAGAAAATAAAATTTCTGTATAGCTGTCTAACGGCACTGTTGAGGTAATTATGAGTTTTTGAGGTTAGTGTTGAATAGAACCACAGATTGCAGAAACGAATATTTTCTATAGTTTGGTTTGTAAGGGTTTGTTATGTTTTAACGAGTTGATCACGGATTGATATCAGTTAGAGAACCATTGAAAACCAGGGAGTACTGGACAGCTGCTGTTTCATCCTAGTTTGGGAATCATCGGCAGTAGAATTCATGAGCCATTGAATTGGGTCCCAGTGGCTGAATGGTATACGAGCCAGCTTCCCTTGTAACCGGAAGGTCCTGGTTTCGAATCCAAGTGGGTGCGTACCGACGATGATTCCCAAACTAGGATGAAACAGCAGCTGTCCAGTACTCCCTGGTTTTCAATGGTTCTCTAGCTGATATCAATCCGTGATCAACTCGTAGAAACGAATAATCCGCTTTTTGCTGTCCTTGGGAGTTTTTGCGACTGTAAGTCTCACAAGGAAATCTCGTCAGCTGTACAGTAGAAGAACACAGATAATGGTTTCTTACGTCCAAACCACAACAAGTCAGTTTGGCCGTAACACTACCTGTGGAAATCTACGAGAGAAACTAAATCTCTCGCCGACAAAATGTTCCGTGATACTATACGAATCTCTAAAATCTTTGAAATAATCTAAATAAATTATATTGCCACATTTTTATCAACTGTTGTAATTTACCATGATAATTTCCTTAATTTTATCGGATGAGTCAAAAACCACTCACGTAAAACAGATTCTACGAGGTGATCACACGATCAAAGTAACACAAAAGAAGTAGAGCAATACATCCGCCATTCAGCTATGAGAACGCCAATCAAGGTGGACACTACCTATTTTTTTCTTCAGCTTTTACAGATTATACAATATATCTGTATACCAGCTTTCAGTAACAATTGGAATAACTGTTCTCTTTCTATGAGGAAAGAATTTATCCGTTTGAGAAGCTTCCCAGTTATTTCGTAGGATTGGAGTTTTGTTAGAAGTTGAAAAGTGGGACTTTACCAAAGACTTTGCTAACATCGAGAAATGATGGAGTTCTAGTAAGAAGTCGCGACCAGTGAGGTCCATCCAGTCACGTGTGAGGATGGATGCCCCACTGATGATATTGGTCGGGATCGCGCTAAATCACGAATTGGTAGAAGTTAGAATTCATGAGCCATTGAATCGGGTTCCAGTGGCTGAATGGTCTACGAGCTTGCCTCATAACCGAAAGGTCCTGGGTTCGAATCCCAGTGGGTGCGTACTGCCGATGATTCCCAAACTAAGATGAAATAGCTGACTGTCCAGTACTCTAGTGTTGGTTCTCAATGGTTCTCTAACTGATATCAATTCGTGATCAACTCATAGAAATTGGAATAAGCTGAAATAACGTTTTTTTTAAACTTACTGCGTGCTTGTTCCAAGTGTTCTGCATTGGCTTTGAACCATATAGCTGCTTTCAGCATGATTTCTCTGGGCTGAAGCAAATATTCCTGGAATAGAAAATATCAACAAATAAATAAATAGATTTTTATGCATTTCAATGACACAAATCGCTGGTTAATCCTTCAGAAACAGTTGATATATATATATATATATATATATATATATATATATATTTGCGTCGCTTCTCCAATGTTCACCAGTCTCATGCAGAAGGTCTGAGATCAACTTCCAGTTGACGTACTCCTAAAATTTGTCTAGCTTAAAAATCAGTAATAAAACTGGAAAACACAGAGGATTGGGTACGAAGTTGGGAACCACACTCCGTAAAAAATAACACCACTGCAACTAAAACTTCAAAGTTGGAAGTCCTACATTTCACTCAGAACTCAAAGAATGATAAAAATGATATCAAAGGAACCCTGTGACAATTTCCAATGCATGATTAGATTCTTGGATAAATTACTTCAGTCATAAGCAGTGACTGACAGAAACTGTATGTTTTGAGTATATCTACTACCACATGTAAGCTGAAGAAGTGAACAAAGTAAACAAAATTATACCCTAAAAAAATTCTCACTCGATCTATTTCTTCATCATCAATGTCTTCGGTATACAGTGTATCATCTTCAGCTAAAAAATAACAAACAACAATCGTAAAATGAACAAAATATCTGAACGATAGGATTCGATATTTTCAAGAGATATCAACAACAACAACAACAGCAACAAAAATGACATCCAGGATATCCTTTCACAATTGTACTCTGTACAGGTGAAAAACATCGATCATGGAAATAAACAAGCAATAAAAGAAAACATCATGAGGACATAAAATCTATGTATTATTTCGCTGACATATTGAAATTAATTTGAATACTACTACTAATAATAACAATTTATAAGGCATTTCGATCATGTATATTCATTCTCCTTTTGAATATTCACATCAATGCTTACTCGCTAAGTATATTTTTGTAAAGAGTGAACAGAACTTGTAATACTCTGGATAGCACATCTAAAAATCGGTGGAGTTACGCTTGTATTTCGATTACATAATGGCGGTAATATGTCGTACAGACAGTGCCTACTAGCACGCTTCATATGACTTAATTTAGATGTAATCATCTAACATGAAATCTGTAATTCAATAGAAACATAACTGTTTACACTAACAGACTTAATTAACATGTTTAAACAATAGTTTGTTTTCTATTTCATTAAAATATACGCATAAATCCTTTAAATTTGAATAACAAAACAAGTTTTTAATGAACAACATAAAAGCTATCAATGGATTCCGTTACAATCTATTTCGAAAATCGTAGTTTTCTTAATATATGTTATACTGACTGACTACCTCAGATTGCAACGAAAAATAAATATCCTCCTGAGATAGTAAGAGCAGAAGTTTATTTAACTGACCAACTGACATCAATAAGCTATTTGGCTCAGAAGAGTATAGGTTTAAAGTAGTGGCATTTCACAATATCATGAGACAGAAAACAGTTGAGAATACATTGGCAAAGTAAGCTGTAAATACGGAGAGTGCGAATAGTGAAAATATTCAAAATTCTCAAAATGCATAAGAATGAATATATTTGTGCCATTGTAGTAGAATTTAGATTACTCCTAAAACAACTAATAGAGCATATTCAGATTGGTAGGCTCATTTGATGAAGTCATCCTTCCATTCTATTCCAATAATACTGAATAAACTACGTCGTAAAGTTTAATAAGGCAAAAGCTGGTTTATTTATGTGCTGCCTATATTTTACATCAAAGTAAGTTCACAATTTCGTCCCTTTATTCTACTCTAACAACAATATTTTCCATTATTCAGCCCCCCCCACCCATATAATAGCAATGCTGTGGTGACATCTACGAACAAAAAATCTGTAACTACACCGTTTACCCTTTATGGGAGAGGATGAAGTGACATGTAGTAAACTTGCCTTTTAAATGGCGGTCGCATGTCCTGTCAGCAATAAACATTAGGCGTTGCATCAATGATCGAATTTCAACAGTAAATACCTTATTAAGGCAAACGTATTGACTTTTTCAAATACTAATGACTACAACGAAAACAACACTTGTGCTGACCTACAATGCTGGTAGTCTTGCTATATGAGTTGAATTCCCATCGGTATTCAACATAACCCTTCCAGACAAAACAGTTAGCAGAATACAGGTTTCTTTTGAAAGTCTTGAATCAAAAGGAGTGTGAAGGATTGATGTGACACGGTATCTGGCTTAACAACTGGGGAAAACAAATGACCGAATATGTTAGAAATGTAAATGAGCATTAATGGAGTCAGTTGTTTGCAAAGTCTTCGTATGAATACAAAAAGTCACCTCCCACCTGTGTCAAATATTGGACACTGAAAAATAATTATTAGATAGTATGCAGTGCAAACCAGTTCACTCGTTCTAAACTGTGAAACATATTCATTGAAGATGAATGTTCAATGGGCCACAGATGTTCTTTATCATTATCAAGTGATTCCAATTTGAGTGAGTTTTCCCCCTTCTAATCATAATTACTTCTAGTCCTGTGATAGATTTTCTCAATGAAGTTCTATTTTATCTCTGATGCACATAGAGATATCTCTTATTAGTGTAGGTGTGAAACTTGGGCGCTATGGTAGTATGTAATTCCATATTAATTTGTTTATTAGATATATCTCACAGTGAAACAGTATTATTTACTGAATGACTTTTGAAACCAAATAATTACCCAGATAAATTAGTCAGGAAATATGCAAAAAGAAATGTTAAAATAAAATCGACAGTAATAGTAATGATAGTGATAACAACAATAATATTATTAATGACGACATACATGTCAAAAATGTACAGAATAATGAAAACACCAACGATAAGGAATTTAAATCATCGATAGTACTTCCATACAGAGAAGGAAACTCAGAAACCTTAAGGAGAATTCTTAACAATGCAGGAATAAAAGTGGCTGGCATTCACACCAACCATAAACTCAATTAGAAACAAGCTTGTCGGTTAAAGGATCCTGCCAGTGGAGCCTTTAAAACAAAACAATTTAGTTAATCTAATGCCCTGCCTGCGATGACTGTCAGGTCAAATACATAGGTCACAGTAGTAGAACGGGGTCAGTCAGAATAGTGGAACACAAAAACCTAGCAGAATCCAGATTAGTTGACGCCAATAGGATAAGAAATCTGGAGAATAGTTCAGCTATAGCACTGCATACAATTACACACAACCACACAATAGGATGGGATAGGATGACAGTTTTTAAATCTAATGTCACAGGGTGGAGGGAGAGATTGATAACGGAAGCCTTATTTATCGAATCAACTGTAAACACATGCAATAGGAATGATTCAACACCTGTCTCAGATATCTGAAAAATTCTACTGCCCCTACGACGAATAGGAAAGAACAAAGAAAACTATAAAACTGAAGTTTCGAAGTCGTGTAATTATAATTGATATGATTATGAACAATAAATTTTGATTGAAACGTCATCCGGTATATAATACTGTTTCACTGTGTGATATATCTAATAAACAAATTAATATAGAGTCGATATCTCTAATACACTAAATTTTAATTTTTGTTTTGGTGACAACTAGGATTAATTGCGCAAAACATAATTACCGAAATTTTCTTTTAATGTCACTAGTAAGAAGATATATATATATCAAAGGGAATCAGTGAACTTTAATAAACACCAAGAGATGGAGTCTAACCAAGGTGAACAAAACTGTAGCTTATGGGGGTTTATAGTTCATTTCATTAATACTCTGCAAATCAATGAATACCTACTTTTACTTTCTTGCTTTGGAACAACACTTGATGGGATAAAAACAGGTAACTTCAGAGAATTCTTATCTGAAAACAAAGAAGAGAAGAAAAAATACTGACTATACACACTCGTAAGCATACTTTGTTAGGCATTCTACAGTCAAGCAAATTTAACGAAACGAAAATAGAGACTAGAAATGGCATTCTTGTTATTCAATAAAAGGTGTTTCAGAAAGACATCATCATACGGTTTATAAAACAGTGATGCTATGAAATTTGACATACAGCATACAGTAAAACGTCTGTTTAACTCGCATAATTAATATCCAGTTTTAAGGTGTTATTGTTACTGAGTTGTATCTCTATCATTTAAATTCAAATTTTGATTATAGCTTGAAAGCATACTGTATTTTTAGTACAAGTATGGAATTTATTGTTGTTATTGTTGTTGGTAACAGCTTGATTCCACACTGTATTTTTGGTACAAGTATGGAATTTTCAGCGTGGATATCGGTAGCCCAAATTTCGCAGGCCGACCATAGATATCTGGTGTGCGCCGGTGTGGGCTCGAACCCCGGACCATCTGCATGGTCGTCGAGAGTCCTAACCATTGTGCCACCGACGCACATATTAGATATACTAGGTCAAAACACGAAATATCATAGAAAAACTCCGAATACACAAGGTAAGTACTGTCAATAACACATCATTGGATAGATTTATTAATTATGCTGTTGTAGTACTCACTTAACTGTCATCCGATAAGTCAAGACACAAAATTCTAGTGAGTCAAGTATCTAAATTACCAAGGGGATGTGACTTTAGTTAGTAAGCTGGACAACTATTGCTTCATTTTAAGGCACTAACACTTCTTCTTAGTCAACAGATTATGAAGTAAAACGTAGTTTACATTATAGATACGTCTTTCTCAAAATTAAGTACAGTGGCATACTGATTTACTTTTCCCTCAGTTGCAGGTATACACTAAGCATTAAATAAATACATAAAGATAGTTGTGAAGTAATAATATCACTGGTTTTCGTGGTCGAAGGCGACAACTAATCAATGCAAATTCTGTAATTGCATATACTAATGTTTTACGAATATTTGCCAGTAAATATTAATCTCTGTGAATGCAGTAATTCAGTGATTCAAAGAGACTATTGAATAAGTTATAATCACAGAATAATTCATAAGTGGGCTTCCAAACAAACAGAAATACAACTGAAGTAAATCAAGTGCACTAATAAGTACAAATAAGACCCACCTTTTACAGGAAGTTCATTGGGTCTAGTATCTTCAGCATCAGACGGCTTGGAATCCACATCCTGTGCTGGTAATTTCTGATCTGAACCAATATCAGCCTGATTTCTTGTCTCCTCTGCTTCAGACAAAAGTTGACACATTTTGGTACCAGAATGTTGAGTTAGAATATGCAAATCCTCAACGCAGCTGTCCAATAATTCTGGCTCAACTAAACCATCCAAAACATCACGTAGTATCCCGCGAACTTCACCACTTTCATTTTGACTAGAGGTATTACTTTTGTTAGTTATAGCATCATCGTTACCACATTCAGCAGCTTCACTCGATACGTCTTTTAGTTCACTTAAGAGACCCGATGTTTTCAAACAATCTGAGTTTTCAGCTAATAAATGTTGTATGCCTTTGGAACATCCAACATCTACAATTTAAAATAGAATACAAAGAAACGTGCCAATAACCGAGACTAAGAAAGGACTTATAAAGAGAAACTATAGGCAAACAAGCGTATATCGGAACTGTGTACTAATGGAAGCGTAAAGTGTTACTGCTTTTCATCTGCTCGCATTGCTTAAGTTGACATCGTAAAATAGCCGAAAAAGAAAAATCCACGCATTGCTTGGATTCATAAACTCCATTCAGAAAGTTGTGGCTTATTAGCAAATATCGCTCTAACACGACTGACCTAAACTACTTCACCACCTTTCCGTTCTTCCCAACTAGCTTCAGTGACACACGATATTTATGACCACCACGTAAACGCAAAATAAACCTGACACACTAAACAATGATCAAAATCCAGAGAAAAACTGATAATTCTGTATACACCGACTCCATCAGTAAGCATATTTTTTACTTTTTGTCAAAATTGAGTGGTCGAAAAAGAATACCGAGTAGCACAACAGTGATGTCTGTGCCATGTTAGATATATAGGTAAGTTGTGAACTGTTCAAAGCCACATATAGGAATTTTCCTTATCTTACCTACAACGATATACTCCCTCTTCTCTAAGCTTAGACGCAAGGCCCATGTCATCTGAAATAATAACAACTAGTGCTATCCGTCAGACAAATCCGACATGACTTTTATTGAATGTCACGCGAGAATCTGGCAGAAACCCATGGAGTCTTCGATTAGTGAGTCCCGTGATGATGTATAGAATGTCTGCCTCGGGTCCTCAAGATAACAAGATCTAATAGCTGGAGACTGTTGGTAGCATGGATCATGATCATCCCAAAAAGCACAGACAAATTCCCTCCTTGTGATCTTCTAGATTCAAAACTCTTAATTAATCCGCCTCTGATTATTACCTATCTTGTACATCTCCTTTCACTATACTTCAATTTCTCCCCTACTTTTATGTGCTTTTTGGGAGTGTAGCAATGTATATTGCTGCATTTTGTACAGAGGTCTACGTCAGTCAATAAGAGTACAAATACTATCACAATTGACTTCAAAATAAACTTACCTATTTTAGCAAGTTGTGTAGAAATTGTACGAGCTGTGTATTTCCCAGACAGCTTTTGTAGTTCAGTATCTATACGACGTTCTAATTCAGTTATCTCCATAGTTATACGAGCCATTGTTCCCTCTGACATACTCTGATCATATACAAAATGAAAATTTTATGGTAAACATAACTGAAAAGAATTTACTACAATTTGAACAGAGCGAAAATTATATATGATCAGGATTAAAACGGCTCTTAGATACACAATACTATTCAAGCAATAATATACTCCAGAAAAGGGTGTACTTGTTTCTAGCGGAAGTTCAATTTCTGCTAACTTCCCGAGACACGATTCACTGACTTTAGAGACTGACTTTCAACAAACACGACCTAGTTTGATTACTTACTTTACTTCGGCTATCTCCTACGGGAGGATGAGCCGGCTTCATGAACGTCTCGAATCATCGCTGCCCAGGCGCGGCGATCTGAAGCAAGGTTTTGCGATAGGGATATCCAATTCTTGTTCCACATACGGAGTCCGTAGACCGTTTGTAGCCCCAGGCACTCCATATCTGCCTTGACTGTACCAAGCCATGTCTTCAGCTGTCCGCCTCTGCGACATCGCCAAGATGGTAATGGCGAGGGATTTAGAACTGATTTGACCAGATCGTCATCTGGTCGGCGCAGAACATGGCCAAACCACCGAAGGCGGCGTTGTTGGACCAGTACTGGAATTTGGTTGATGTTGTAGCAACGCCGACGCACTTCTTCGTTGGAGAGTTTGTCCTGCCAACGAACATGCAGAATGTACCTGAGACACCAATGGTCTAATACCTCGAGTCTGCGTAAATCTTCCGCGCGAAGAGGCCAGGTTTCACAGCCATACAGCAGAACGGGTCGTATGGAAGCTTGGTAGATCCGAATTTTAGTCCTGAGACTGATTTCTCTCTTGCTCCATAGAACGCTCCTCAGCTGTAGAAACGCATTCCGGGCGTTGGAGATTCGCGCATTCACTTCGTTTTTCGCTTGGCCGTTGGGGAGCATTATGGATCCCAGATATCTGAAGGATGGCACAATTTCAATAGGTGCTCCATTTAAGGATAAGATTTCATCATTGCTGGTGGATGTGTTCGAAAACATTTTGGTTTTGGAAGTGTTAATTTTCAAACCGATAGTAGACGCGAGGTGGTTTATCTGGTCGAGCGCCTGTTGCATATCGGGGAAGTTTTCAGCTAACAGCACGACGTCGTCGGCGAATTCGAGGTCGGTTATGTGAATATCGGGCGAAAGTTGGACGCCGTGGTGCTCGGTTAGGGCGTGCCGCAAAATCCAATCAATTGTGAAATTGAACAGGATGGGGGATGCTGGACAACCTTGCCGGACACCGCTGGTTACCTCAAAAGTGCGGGACTCTTCACCGTTCACTCGGACTCGAGCTTTGGTGTTGGAGTAGTATGACCTGAGCAGGTTGATTAGCTTGGTCGGAACTCCGTCGAGCTCCATTAGATACCAGAGTGCTCCTCGATCAACTGAGTCGAATGCCGCTTGGAAGTCGATGAAGCAAGCAACCGTCGGCTGTTGGAATTTGTCCCTGTGTTCCAAAATTCTTCGCAGTGTGAATAATTGATCAACACAGCCTCTTCCAGGTCGAAATCCGGCTTGATTTGGCCTTGTTCGCACGTGGCGTTCGGCCGCGAAGCGGTTCAGGAGAATGGAAACAAAAACCTTAGCAGCGATATCAATCAGACTTATGCCTCGGTAGTTCTCGCATATTGACCTGTCTCCCTTTTTGTGGAACGGTAGCAGAACTGAGGTGCTCCAATCGGAAGGAATGGTTTCGGACTCCCAAATTGAGCAGAACAGCGAGTGCAGTGCATCGATTAGCGCTGGAGTGCAGGCCTTGTATATTTCTGGGGGTAGACCATCTTCGCCCGGAGCTTTTTTGTTTCTGAGTGTGTTAATTGTTTTAGCTATTTCGGTTGGAGTGGGTGGATCGCAGTCAACTACGTAGGGTGTTGGTAAGTGTCGTATCGGTCGATGAGACGGTTGACCAGCGTCGCGATTGAGTAGCTGCTTGAAGTGTTCGGCCCATCGTTCCATCTTACCATTGGTGTCCGAAATAATTTCTCCTGATGCTGTGCGTAACACAGCATGACTGTTAAGGCGTTTGCCAGATGATTGGCGTAAGAGGCGATAAAGTTTTCCGAAATCGCCTACATTTGTTGCTGCTTCCATGTTAGTCGCCACGTTAGACCAATAGCGATTTCTGTCGTTCCTAGCAGACTGTGTAGCTTTGCGCCTGAGGGAGCGATAAACTGGAGACTTTGCTAGGCGAGCGTCTCTGGCTTGCGAGGATAGAAGCATGGTGTGCTCTGAAATCCAGTCTTTCTGCTTCTTGGATGTGGTACCCAAATGCGTCATTGAAGCTTTAGAGACTACTTCTTTGAAATGATTCCATCGTGTCTCGGGTGTATTAGAAGATGTGGATGTTGGTTCATCTGCGGCGCTTAGTTCGGCCTGGATTTGTTTGGACAAGGCTTGTCGTCTTGTAGAACATTGAAGCGGGGCAACATTGATACGCTTCGGAGGTCGCGCCTTCTGGCGTGTCGTTAAACGAAGTTTGAATTTCGCCCTAACTAGAGTATGGTCTGATCCCCCTTTATTTCCGGCCTCTGCTCCACGATAGGATCGACAGTCTTCCACCGAGGAGATCCAGCGTGAGCGCACTAGGATGTAGTCGATCTGATGTGCAGTGCGACCGTCGTTCGAATACCAGGTGAGAAGATGTTTTCTGGGGTGTTGAAATCGAGTGTTGGTGATATATAATCGATTGTAATCAGAAAAAGCTAAAAGTCTATCACCATTACGGCAGCGCTGATCGAGACCGTGTTTGCCTAGTATATGTTTTGTCGCGTCGTCTGAAGGGCCAGTGCGGGCGTTCCAATCGCCGGCTACTATGAGAACGTCACGCTTTGGGATTTTGTTGATTGCCTCTTGAAGATTGTCATAAAATTCGTCTTTGATACTTTCATCAGAGTCGAGGGTTGGGGCATAGACAGCGAGAACAGAAATGTCGAGCGGGGAACCCTTGAACCTAGCGACTGCAACTCTGGAGTTGACCGGTTCGAATGATATTAGGGCATTATTGGCTTTGTTACTGAGAGCAAATGCTACCCCATGTTGTCCCGAATTATTCTGGGGGCCACTATGAAGCAACCAGAATGAAGAATCTGTTCCAGGAACGGCTATTCGGCGGGAGCCATGATCGGGTAACCTCACTTCAGATAGACACGCTATGTCTACCTTGTAGTCATATAAAGAACGCATGATGATAGACTGGCTACCAGGATCCAACAGCGTCCTAACATTCCAGCAGCCAACAAATAGTTGGTTTCTAAGTGTTAATTTCCCAGCTAGCTTACTTTTCACACTGGCCACCGGGTGAGCACAGGGCGCGTCGCTTACCGGGAACGCCGTAGCATGGTGAGAGTTGTTTGTAGGAGAGTTCATGAAGTTTCTTGGGAATTTGGTACGAGTGATGTCCCCAGCATCGCTAGTTTGACTGGACACTGGTTAGTCCAATCAAAGTATCCAATAGAATCCTACAGGAGGACAATAGCAAGCCCGAATAGCTCAATGGTAACGTCTCTGACTGCAGCATTGAGTGACGCGGGTTACAATCTCAAAAGGGACATCAGTTCCCTCAAGGTTGCAGATACGCCTTGCTGACAAGTACCAAATAGCACGAAACCTAGGTCCAAGGTTTCCTGCCTATTGCTTCCAACCACCTAACATCAAACAAGACGTAGGTTCGAGTCCCGTCTGGACAAATGCATTATCCTTTACACAATAATTGTGATTTGAAGACTTGTATGTCGGGAATTTTTGGCTACCTTAATTCTAATTAAGTGATGTATGAAATTTGCTCCTAATACACTTGACGGAATAAACGGGTAAATAAGTAGGTACATTCAGAGGTTTCACTATACAAACATATTAAAATAAACAATTTCACACCTTTAAAATAAAACAAACAAGAAATATAAAATAAAGACTCACTTCTTAAGTGAATTAGCACCGCAAAGCTCTGGACGCAGGTTTCGTGCTTGACCGAATTTATCAACAAGGCTTTCCTGAAATCTTGAGGAGACCCATATTTACTCAATTATCAGATTACAGATGGCTTGGCGACCACACTACATAAGTGCCAAGGTTCAGTAAACAAATGAAATGATGTCACTTAACCAACCACTAGACTTCGAATGGGACTGGACACCCACCTGTTCTATACCAGTTTACTACTTCTCAACAGTGAGTACGTAAGGACATATGATGTTTGACCTACAGTTGTCAGGTTTAACGGCGGTCGCACTAATGGCCTGCCGATCGGTAATGAGTTGTTTTATCGTAACCACACAACAATGACTTTTAGATTATGAAGTAAACACTATAAGAAAATTTTCACTCATTAAAACTGACATTCACAGGCCAAAAATATTAATTTTACGTTTTCATAAACGGTAGAAAAATGCATAGTACTCTACAGTGTGAATACAAACCGAATAAATAAAATAATAAGGTAAACTTACTTTCAACTTTTCATCTTCCTGCTTCATTGAAGCAACAAATGCTGGAGGATCTTGCTCCTCATCATAATCAACTGAGAAAAATTCTTCAATACTGAGAGCGGATGATGGAGTACGACTGAATTCTTCTAAACGTTTGCGTGCAGTATTCTGACTAATCCGAGCTGAAATTACATAAATAAATTAGTGATAAGGCTTGACCTAGAACTCGTCAGAAAATGATGATCATAATAAAACGTTTGCCGTATTCACTGAGTATGACAAAGCGACAACACTACTGTTTATTAAAACTTGTTAATCAAAGGATGCAAAAGATAAACTCTTATAAAAGTACTAAAATTAACTATATTCGACTAGAAGTCTTAATTTCATGCGCTGATTCAAATTTAATCACTCAGTGAATAGATGTCTACTACGCCTCTTTCCCTACTTTTAGCTCCTGAAGTTTGGCAAATAAAAAGCACTGTTCGACTGACAGCTGTCAAAATTATCACTTGTAGTTACCGATAATTGTGCCTTTTTAAGTGCACAGAATATCAAGAATGTTGATGGAGTGGCTTCTAAAAATGCTACCAATATGATGATTGTATAAAATGTGATAACATTAAAAAATATGCTGCTAGTTCACGCACTGAAAAAAGTGCACTTGCTTATCAAGTTTCTTTCCTTAATTGTATAAAATCGGTTATTAAGAAGACAGATAATAAAAGAGGAACCATACCAATTCGAGCGACGTCTTCCTCTGTCCTATTGAATTCATGAATTCGAGCAGCAACAAGTAGTGCAGCAGCAGCCAATCCACTAGGTCTACGACCAGTAGCCATCCAGTCTTTCTTCATCCTTTGTAACAGACGCATGGCGGTTGTAGCAACTGTGGACACTTTGTCACCGAACTCCAACTGACTTGCAAAGCGATCAATATAGATACAAGGATCTGAAATAAGTTAGAACAGCTCATATATTCGTATATATGCAAGAGGAATAAAACAAGTTTGGCTCCTATACAGAACAAATTCCCCTATTCAGTATCCACTTTACAAAAGTAGTATCTAAATATCCCCACTTTTTATTCTTCAGCCGTTTACATATCTAGACTGAGACTATCCTGTATAGTTCTAAACTGTGAGACTCCCACTGGTGTAATCAACGATAATCGATGAATAAAAACATAGATAGCTGCAGGATTCCAACCAAATGCTTCTAAAATAATAATGTACATACACTATGAAGGAAAAAGCAGCGTAAAATATCTTTTATATGCTCTTATATCCCCGACAGATCTGTAAAGGATTTATAATGCACATACGAGAATGTCCAAGAGAATGGTTAATAACAATTATAAAAACTACCACCGTATTTAGATTGTTTTCCGCAAACAGTAAAAAAGTAGAAACTATGTATGCAACTTAATATTTGTGATTACTATTAACACGATACAAATGCTTTTTGTCCAATATAAATTGCTATGTAGACAGATTTACTTATGCAAAATAGTTCGGTCTAGTTGTAATGAACATAAACTTCAGTATAGTGCATTCTAGTGCACTAGCATTAGTGAAGCTACTAGTATTAAACAGTGACATATTTTTGAGATAATTTTTTTCGCTTTCTAAACAATGTAACACAAATTTGCGTCACTCATAATTATTTCACTCAAAATTGATTTTTAAAAACAAAAGTAATATAAAAACGATGGAAGATACAGAGAAAAAAGGGGGAAAACATTGAAAATTCTTTGAGATCATCATAAAACTTGCACTAACCCATTTCTGGTATGGCTAAATTAAGTCGCTTTTTTAGATCAGCGTACACATGACCAAGAACATAAACATTAATTCCAACTGCATCACTGAGGTCTAATAACATCAAGTTGACACGCAACTGGCGGGCTGCCAAATATATACAGCCCGCAGCTACTGTAAAAGCATTGCGACCCCTTGTAAGTCCGCGAAAAAGTGCACTTTGATAATAACGAAAGGCAGAGACTGTTATATCATTGCCAAGACGCAACTGGCCACAAATGGTATCAATCCTTCGACGAGCTACAATGTTTAAATTTCAAATAGGTTAGACCATAAATAACGACAAGTAGAAGTGAACACAAATTAGTCAAAAAGCAAACGAGACTTTTAGTCTGAATGTACCATGTCACACTAAGTCAATAAGAGCACCCAGAATGTAAATTTATATGACGTATATACTTTAAAGTCAAACATCAGAACAAACTTTCAAATGAGTTAGCTAACTGAGAGAACTTATGGTGATAACAGCAATGAGACTTCATAATCAACTAGACCGAGTAATTGTATGCAGGATGGTAAATAGGTAAACCCACTTTAATGGTTGGAAGTTCATAAAACCATTTCGGTGACTGAGTGTGGACAAATATGTAAAAGGAATTTAGACATGGTTTGTGCTGCTTCTTAAATTCAAGCTTTTATTCAGAGATATTAATAAATCTGTCCAGGTGGAGTAAAAAGGACCAAAATTGGCTGTTACAAACTAATCAGTCGATTTTCAGACTATGCTGATTCCAAACTCACAAAATTCCACACGATGGTGTGCAATTTGGGCCTGTACAACAAAATTACGAAAAATTTTACACCACTTAAAAGAAGGCAACAGGTCTATTTTACATAATGTCTAGACTCTAAACCAGATCAAAAGTACAATAGCAAACATGAATGTGTATAAATGGATTTGATTATGAAACTGAATGGTCACCAGTAAGCTAACGTATAAACAAAATTAAAGTATTAAAGGGGGATCCTCGGCCGTTAAGTGGGGTTTCATAATTCAAACAACTTGTCTCAAGTAATTCATGATCCATACAAATATCTACGGACTTATGCTATCTTAATCCTCTGTACCTTTGCAGCTAAAACACAAGCATGACAAACACATGGTTGTGTGGCATCAAAATATAAGATCAACCTCAAAATAAATTTGCAGGAAAATAAAACAGGATTATATACTGTATATTATCTCATTTTCACATACTAATGAGCGAGAAACAAGTAAAGTATTTTTCGCTCACCTTTATTTTCAGTTATTTGACGCGACTCTTTGAAGTTAAAAGCTTGGCCTGAAATAAAATGGAGTGAAATATCAAAACTTACTTTCATCTGAGACAAAACGACCAACAGCATTACATTGACCAGTGCTTGTTTCAACGAACTCTACCTCTGAAGAAATGACGTTTTCGCCCACAACCATTCCACAATCCAAACATATTAGGTCGGCACGGGCACGGTCTTCTTCTAAATTAGAGCTCCCACAATGTTTACACTTCATTTTGGATGTTGCGTAATGCTCAAAGTCAGCGCTTAATATCCATTATCCAATAGATTCAGATTCATATTCAGATTATAAGGATAGAACGCTCTTGTTGCAGTATATATCTCTGCAGGGATTTAGTTTCTACTTGAAGGCATTCACCGATGGAGCTGTTACCACTGTATCAGGTAAGGAGTTCCAGTCATGGCGATCTTGTTAATGTACCGTATCCAATATCCAATATCCTGATGACGAGCTAGTATAAACCAGTGATTTCTTTGAGCTCGCTTCTTGATTGTGAGGTAGAGGTTCCAGATCTTCGGTGAGCTTCTGCGTAGTAAGTCCCGACACTCGACTGCTTTAGCTCTGGTAGACTCCAGGAGGAGTGGTGCGGGGATTGGTCGAGATGCGGTTTGTAGTATGCAGTATGTTAGGACTGTATTGCTGCCGTGAATGGAGTTTGACCTAACTCCCCTTGGTCATTCGGTGTAGTCATAAAAGCAGAATAGTAATAATAATAATAATAATAGGTTGTAGTGTAGATAATATAGGTTGAGATAAGTGGAATAATAAAGGTGACATAAGGAAAGGACAGAGTGAGAGAAGGCAGAATAGGTCGTGGGGATTTAGTTAGTACGCTTATTCATTGACAGTTTGGTTTCAAATTTTATGAGGATAAGCCATTGAGACACAAACCTTGCATTTCTGCATGATTGTCTAGCTTCCGCTTAAAAATCTCCACAGATGGCGCTGTAGTCACGGCCGCCGGTAAAGCGTTCCAGAGACGGCAAACACGAAGCGAAAAGAAATGTGATCGCACTCGAGTCTTTGGTCTCTGGTGTGCTATCCTTAGCGGGTTACCTCGTGGAAGCCTATAATCGCTTAATGGCAGGATGCTTTTATTTGGGTGGGCCTGGTCATTTAGGATCTTGTAGACGGTGATGAGGTTTTTTTTTTTTTTTTTTTTTTTTTTTTTTTTTTTTTTTTTTTTTTTTTTTTTTTTTTTTTTTTTTTTTTTTTTTTTTTTTTTTTTTTTTTTTTTTTTTTTTTTTTTACACTTTCTAGAATGTTAGCATCCCTTTTGAGTAGCGGAGGTGCAATGATATTATGCACCTCAAGGTGTGGCCTCACATATGCCTTGTATAGCCTTAAGAACAGTTCGGGAGTGAGAGCTCCCAGCTGCCTGTGCATAAAGTGTAATGTTGCGTAGGCTTTGGCGACGTCCCTCGAGTAATTTCCACTGGTGTCTAGCTTTTCTGTTAGAATAAGACCTAGATCACGCTCTGATGGAACACAACTCAAGTTCTGGCCACCAAGGGTGTAATTTACACTCTGTGACCTGCCGGAATGAAGCTGCACTACTTTGCACTTCTTTAGATTGAAAGGCATTCCGTTAGCCAAAGCCCAATTTCCCAGAGTTTGCAGGTCAGCCTGCAATCTATCTGAGTCTTCCGATGAGTTTATTGCTCTCCAAATCTTTACGTCGTCAGCGTAAAGAAGCGCAGAGCAGTTTAGTTGGGGGGGCAGGTCATTGATAAAAATCAAAAACATCAACGGCCCTAGGATAGAACCCTGAGGAACCCCTGATGCCGAGGTGTGCCAAGATGATCGGATGCGGTTGACTTTGGTGCAGAATTCTCTCTCGCCTAAGTAATCTGTCAGCCATGCGAGAAGTGCTCCAGAAACTCCCGCCTTGCCTATTTTGTGAAGGAGCAGACCATGGTGAACTGTGTCGAATGCTTTCGCAAAGTCGAGAAAGATCACGTGGGCTGGTACCTTTTTGTCCCAGGATAGTGTCCAATCGTTCCAGGCTAGTAGAAGATTCGTCACGCAGGATCTTCCCCTCCTGAAACCGTGCTGTGCTTCGTGAAGAAGGTTAGTCCCATCGAAGTATTTTCTCATGTGGTCGTCAATGAGACTTTCCAATATCTTCGATACCACTGGAAGTAGAGCAACTGGTCTGTAACTGGTCACATTCTGCCGGTCACCACCCTTGAAGATAGGGGATAGGATTGCACGTTTCCATTCACATGGAAGTTTCCCTACATCAAGGGAGTGTTGGAACAGATCACTTAGGGGTTGACAGAGACTTTCTGAACACTGCTTCAGGACAGATGGTCTGATGCCATCACAACCTGGAGACTTTCCCGAAGCCAACCTTCCCAATTTTGCAAGTACCATAGCCGGGGTAATTTGAAATGTCCCCAGCAGGTTTTCGTGTGTTGGTTCTGCGATGTAATCTGGATGTTCTGTAGGGGTAATATCCTCGTTACTATTTAGTTGCCTGTGAAAGGCTAGGCTGAATGTCTCTGCCATTTCAAGACTAGTAAGAGATTTCCCATCAGAACCCACTAGATTGCATGCTCCCTGGTTGGTCGGTTTTCTTTCGGCCATAAACCTGTATAGGCTTTTGGGGTTCACGAGAAGCTTATTGGCGAGGTCTCCCTGAAATGTCCTTCTATCGCTCCGGACTCGTATGTTACATCGATTCCTGAGTTCAAGGTACACTTCATATTCGGGTTGACTCTTCGATCGTCGCCACGCGAACCAGGCTTTACGCTTTGCCTGCAGAAGGCGTTGTGTCCCTCTTTTCAGCCATGATCGTTGCTTCCTAGCTTTTGGTGAGACTAAAGGAACAGTGTCTGAGACCGCCTGGTGAATGATCTCCTTTACCACTCTCCAGTGTTCTTCTACTGTTAGCTCTGTCCATTTTTTAGGCCAGTTTGCTTCAGACAGAAGTCTTCGCATTTTGGTAAAGTTGGCTTTGTTATAACACAGATAGGGCTGTGTATTGTCCCACTGTAAGCGCTCGCGGAGGACTATGTCGAATACTATGACCGCGTGGTCACTACTACCTATGGGAGTCGTGATCTGAACGTTTTCCACTAGTAGCTGGTCACTAGTGAGCACGTAATCCAGTCTAGAAGACTTCCCATCAGGGCCCCATCTAGTATCCATCTTGACATTTTCGGTGAATCCAGCCTTCCTGATGGTATGCAGCAGATTTCGATCAAATCTATCATGGGCTTTTCCCGACACCAAGTTAAGAGATGGGGCATTGAAGTCACCAGCTATGACAATTTGATCATAACCCATGTCTTGAGTCGCTGAAATTGTATTTAGCAGTACCTGGTTATGGTCTGCTCCACATGAAGGTGATCGATAAATGCTGCCCACTAGATATTTGCAGTACCCAACGGTGAAGTGGCACCATATGGAGTCAGGGAGCTCTGTGAGGGGAGGGTCCGTCGCGTGAACACATCTGAGCTGTTTGTCGACGTATATGGCGACTCCACCTCCTTCTTTCAGGTCCCTATCTCGCCTGACTAGGACCATATCATTTATACTGACTTCGCTGTCTGCCACCGTAGGGGTTAGCCAGGTTTCCGTCAGTATTATGATTTTGGAGTTTAGTTGTGATTGTAGGTGTCTAAGTTCAGCTATTTTGCCTCTTAGCCCTCTCACATTACTATACAGGCAACTGGTAGTCAGTCTCACCACTTCCCCGTATTGGGGGGTAGTTGACTTGATATTGGCTATCGGTTGAGGAGTTATCCTACGAACTAGTTGGCCGATTCCCCAGGAACCGGCCTGTTGGCGTTTTTTTCTTCTAGTTCAGTTGGAGCACTCGGATGACACTGGCTATCATCGTCCGTGCTGCACCGCTGTAGTGTGACTAGGGGTTGAGGATTTTCTTTTACTACGCTTTGTTCTCTCCTTTGAGTGCGAGGCCGGCTCTCGCAGCAGCGAATGTGTTTGCTGACCTTGTCCTTGGTCTCGTACCATCTATGGAGAGCGGTAGTCAACTGGTCTTGGGAGCTGAACTTGACAGCTAACAGACGTGGCGAGTTAATTGACATAAGATGAGTGGGTCGAGGCAGTCTATAAATAGAGACAGCCCCTGAACTTCCCAGGGCCATCTGGGATGCTAACCATCTCCATTGTTGTACATCATGACAATGCTTTTCGCAGGCGTTCCCAGTTACCAGTTCGGGAATGCCATGCACAACCATGGAGGCAGAAGGAATGAGCTCTGGCGACTCCCTCGCCATTTGTCTTTCCTTCCACGGCCTGTCTGGCTTAACACGTATGTTACAGGCCCTCCCTATAGAAAGGACTTGAGAAGCCAGTAACACTTTTTCAACATCCTCGGTAGAGCTCAATGTTACCCTCAGTGGGGATGGTTTGCCTTCAGGTGCAGCAGTGCCCCTATACAATCTGCATAGATTTACTGGTTGGATGTCCAAACCCAGTGTGCTACTTAAGATGGACCACTGTTCCTGATCAAATAGGGCCCTATCTTTCAGCAGACTACTGCTACAGTCTGGTACATTAAAGAGGATTACACAATTTGATCTGCTAACCGTGGGCTTGGGCTCGGTCCTCGCACGTTTGTGATCACCTTTAAGACCGTTTTGGTTTGACTGGTGCGACTGGGTATTTTTATGTGTCTCAGTGCTATAGCCAGCATTACTGGTAGACGGTTGGGGTCTTTTTCCAACGACGGAAACCCGTGGTTCTCCAGCCTCTGTGTCTGGAGCGGTTATGGCAAGAGTTACAAGTTTAACCGGTGAGGATTTTGGTATCCCCGGTTTACTCGCGTTTGTACTAACTTCCGGATTGGTGGGGGTCGAGCTTTTCACCTTTTCCCCGTAGGGGAGAGAGAGCATTGAAATATCAATCCCCAAATCACCCTTTAATATACGGTGAGCCAAAGTTAAGTCGCTTTTACTCCTTCTGTGTGATAATGATAAGAGATTTAAACGCTCCATCTTCTTATCATAAGGAAGGTGTGAGACACCACTGACTAATTTCTTTCCTATCCTTGATGCTCTTTCCAGGATATATGCCTCCTTTCTGAACCATGCGCTCACCGCTCGTATGCAAATTTCTAGATGAAGTCTGGCATATATTTCATAGAGTACTTGAAACACACCCTCGTCTTATCATTTGAAAGTCCTTCGAAGTGCCCACAGCATTTAAAAAGCCTTAGCTTTGGCTCGATTACAATTTGCCGTTGTTTTCAAGTCACAGCTTACAATAATTCCTAAGTCTTCTTCTCCGCTAACATCTGGCAATTCTGTGTCCCTCAGGGGGTACGACATGTGAGACTTCTGACCTAGATGCATTACTGCGCTTTTCCTGGAATTAATTTCCAGAATCCAAAGGTAAACCCATTTGGCTAATTTTCGTAGTATCAAC